AGCAGGAAGTCTTTTCAGTGCCCTAATAAATGATTGGTCAAAAATGAAAATAGGAAAATCATATCAGCAAATATTATGTAAAGCATAAGTCACAAAAACAAGCCTACCATACAAATGTCTGTGTGTGTGTGTGTGTGTGTGTGTGTGTGTGTGTGTACAAACACAGAGACAGGTCAAAGGCAAAGGATTCAAATGTTTTTTCTTAATTTTGTCAGGGTGTGTGTTCACGAATGTTACATAAACCTCATTGATGCAACTGTATTATTAACAGATCGGCAGATGCTTTAGAGAAAACTGGCTGATCCTTCTATCATCTTTCTACTGAAAAGCTGAAGTGACTCCTCTGCATAAAGTAACAGCCCAGTTATGATACAATACCACTGAAAGCTCTAAGGCCAACACACACACACACACACACACACACACACACACACACACACACACACATGCTGCTATTTTCACAGATTTATTACTCAAGAAGAATTTGAACTCTTTTAAGCATCCTATTTGCTTCACAAAAATCATCAACAATTTTAAATGGTTATTATACTTAATAGCTATATATTTCAAAATACCTAAAATAAATTGTAACACAAAAGAACCAGGAAAAATAAATTAACAAATTATGGGCCTTTTGAAATCCACAGTTTAATACTGTTCAGTACCTTGGTTAATAATAAAAAATACGGGGCTTCCCTGGTGGCGCAGTGGTTGAGAGTCCGCCTGCCGATGCAGGGGACGAGGGTTCGTGCCCCGGTCCGGGAAGATCCCACGTGCCGCGGAGCGGCTGGGCCCGTGAGCCATGGCCGCTGAGCCTGCGCGTCCGGAGCCTGTGCTCCGCAACGGGAGAGGCCACAGCAGTGAGAGGCCCGCGTATCGCAAAAAAAAAAAAAATAATAAATACATTTTAATCCACTTTTAGGAGTGGCAGGTTGGTGTCTCATACAATTTTAAGTTGTGTAAATGAAGTTACAGTTAAAGCCTCATTGCCCAAATCACCCCAGGTGGAAGGGATTCCTGTTTGGGGTAGTTGATCCACTTTATAAGGTAAGTAAGACATAGTCCTTCCCCAGAGCAAGGGTAATTTTCACTGTTTTTTTTTTTTTTTTGGCCGTGCCGCGTAGCATGCAGGATCTTAGTTCCCCAACCAGAGATTGAACCCACGCCCCCTGCAGTGGAAGCGCGGAGTCTTAACCACTGGACCGCCAGGGAAGTCCCAATTTTCATTTTTGAAGATGTTTGCTAATATGGATAAGCAAAAGTTGATGAAAACACAAATATATTTCCTAAGTATGCAGATTCTTATCATTACTGATATGATTACAAATAAAAACAACAAAGAATGTATATTTCAAATGGGCAAAATGATAGCATTGGTTGTTAGTCACCAAATTTAAATCTAAATTTATAGCATATAATACAAACCAAGATTAACAGAAAGCAAACTGTGTAATTTAGAACTGGGATCAAGGTATTTAGTTCCTTTTTCCTTCTTCAGTTTCATTCAATAAGAAAACAGTCACTAAAACAACAGGATAAAAAAAACCTACCTTGTATTTAAGGGCATTTGGAAAATCCCTTCTATATATCAGATATACAAATGCACAGGACTGGAAAATCCTTGACAGACTACTTAGTCAATCTAGATAGCTGCCTACTCTTTCCTTTTAAAAACAATCACCAGAGAATGCTATTTCATAACCTTCTGAATTGTCATCTTCTTGATAGAAAGACTAAGTATTTTCTATAGCTCATGTAGAATAGCTACCACACTGTGGGTATATAGCAAAGGTTAAATACTGCGATTATCAGCAATATATAAATTAAAGACGTGACGATAGATACAACTAAAAATAGAATATCTGCTGAATTAACATAGCAAATTACTAGAACCTTATTAATTTTAAATGAGACTCAGATAAGAAAAATATGTAATAGGAAATTAATTTTTATGAAGTGCATGTAATCAAAGCTAAAAATATTAATTTTAGGCTATAAGGATTGTAGAAGCACAGTCTAGAATAACAGTTAACAATATAAACAGATCAAAAATGATGGAATAGCGGTAAACAATTTTTGGAAAGATACAGGATTATTTAATTATAGTTCATTTTAATGCATTCTCAGTCATAGTTCTTAAAAGTGCTTCAGCTTGCATAGTCCTGATCATTTAGCCTAGACAATATTAAATAATGAATATGTACATTAATATAACATACAATGCAATTCATGTACATAATAGAATACATTACATTTTAAAATATAAAACATGAATTTAAAGCTTATTAAAAAAAACCAAACTCGCGCTTCCCTGGTGGCGCAGTGGTTGAGAGTCCGCCTGCCGATGCGGGGGACACGGGTTCGTGCCCCGGTCCGGGAGGATCCCACATGCCGCGGAGCGGCTGGCCCCGTGAGCCCTGGCCGCTGAGTCTGCGCGTCCGGAGCCTGTGCTCCGCAACGGGAGAGGCTACAACAGTGAGAGACCCGCGTACCGCAAAAAAAAAAAAAAAAAAAAACCAAACTCATAAGTAGAAAGAACTCTAATTTCATCTGAATATATACCCTGGCCAAAATTCCAAAGAGTCATTACAGAAGTTAAGCCAAATAATTATATTAGAGTTTTAAAGGACAGAGAAGCAAAAAAGGACAAAATTTCTCAACTGCTTATGAGAACCAATGACATTAGTTTAAAAATAATCAAGTGTACATTTAAGTTTCCTTGATACAAATTACTATAAATTATTCTACTATAATCAAGCAACCTTCATGGTCATCCTAAAGGCAGTTCTAAGCATCATAATTCTCAATTGTCATTAACATCCTGGTATTCACTGCTGCAATATTAACATAATTTGATACTTTAATGACAGCTTTCATCAGCAATCTGTGATGTTATGTTGCTGAAATTCAGTGTCTTATACAAATAAATTCCCATTTAGGAAAAAAAAAAGCAAATGAGTATCTGCTTTTGTACTCTCAAAGGGAGAGCAAACACTAAGAAATTAGCTGGCAAATTTGGGGGGACTCCTCAGATAGTCAGTGTACCAAATTCTCCTTAGCACTATCTAGTTTATTAAAATGACAGCCTGACATCAAGTACAACCAATGCAGAGAGAGAAAGCACGTCCACAGAAAAAGACTGGGAAGAGATCAAACAAGCTACTTTCGGGGGTCGAGGATATAACAGGCGTCTTCTCTTGGGCCTCCTTCCACAGGTGAGAACATCACAGGACACAAGGAAGGGACCTTTTGGCTAGAAGAACAAAGGGATGATAAGAAAACTAAAGCCTTTCTCTCCCAGTCTTGTCTCTCTTCAGATGATGAGTGCCATTCGAGGTGAATACTGATGGTGTGTCCAGCTTGGGGAATCCAATTTTCTTATTCCTTTGCACTTTGAATGCACTTCCCCTGCTGGTTGCAGTATTAGTGATCACAATGGTCTTTGGGGGCGTAAACTGGCTTAGGCCCAGGCTGAGATTCTTCTTTCCCTCCAGAGTCCCAGATGGCAGATGGGCAAGAATGGGCTGGTTAAAGTTATATGCAGGGATGATATTTAGAATATTTGAGTACCAACTAATCAGAATAGATGCTCGATCATAAACAACCAGTATCTGGGTACTACTTACTGAATATCAGCCTTAGCAACAAGGAAAACAAGACTGGTTCGGTGGGGAGGGAAACAGTTTTGATTCGTTGTAAAATTATCTATACAACTTTTTCTTTAATTTGCATTGAACCTCCCCAAAAGCATTACCTGGAAAGACGTGTTAATTAATCTTAATGGATAAATCCAATTTAGATTAAAGAAGGAATGTGAAATATATGTACTATACAGGAAACCCTTACGTCAAAAGGAACATTCCCAAAGCTTGCTGCTGCTATCATCACATTAGAGCAAAAGAAGCTGTCTTTTCTAATAACTTTTTCTGATTCCCTTCATTGTTGCCTTTTCTCCCACGAATGCACCTCCCTTCTTTTCCAAGGTCTCCCACTCTTTACCCCAGTCACCTCAATAAATGTCTCTGCACTTCACTGTGATCCCCCCAACCTGATCAGTGACAATAAAGGTACCAATGATGGAACCAATGATAATAGACCTGTATCAAGAAAAAAAAAATAAGCACTTTAAAAAAATGAGTTTAAAGAAAGACTACACCGAGTCTAAAGCACAGGGGCAGCTTCATTCTCTGATTAAATATGCTTTTATGTAAAAAAGAAAAGGGTTTCTTGCTTACCTTCATTCTGCTCTGTTTATTCTGTATAACTAAATTTAAATTGTAATATTTCCACCTCAATTACAAATGTTCTTTCAGCAACCTTACATTAAATTGGGTTTTACGGGCTAGCCTGTAATCCTCCATAACAGTAATAATGTGGGGAAAACGCTAGATGTTACAAATTCCAAGCGGCAAACAAATGGTAAACAAAAAAATGTGACTACAACCTGTTTGTAAATCAGGGAATGGCTGCACGGGATTTAGCATGCTGTAGTTATGCAGTGTCATAAGACAAAAACTAATGTAACTTTTGTAGGTCTGTAACTAAACAAAGGTAAATTTCCATTATCTCCATGATATATGACGGTAAATGTTTTTAGTTTTATAGAAAATTTTACCTACTCTGCTTTATATCCTTCACTGTCATCCTTCTGTTTTCTTTTCATGCTCCTCTTTTCTATAACTACCAAGAAAATCACACAGCAAGAACAAAAGTACCAGATACTATAAACTCTAATACTAATTACAACCCTAAGATAAAAGTATTACTGCAAAGGAAGGCAAAGGTCGGAGGGGAGGGGTTCTTGTTCTATTGAGCCTGATGCTCCCTTATAGAAAACTGGCGTCTCTATCGCACCAAAGGCAAGTGGGGCTTTATTATTGGTTGGTGTTTTGTTTTTCTTTTTTAAGCGATATAGAGTTGTTCATTTTATTTTTTTAATTTTAATTATTTATTTTTAAAATTTATTTTTAATTTATTTTTATTTTTGGCTGTGTTGGGTCTTTGTTGCTGTGTGCAGACTTTCTCTGGTTGCGGCGAGCGGGCGCTACTCTTCGGTGCCGTGCGCGGGCTTCTCATTGCGGTGGCTTCTCTTGTTGCGGAGCACGGGCTCTAGGCGTGTGGGCTTCAGTAGTTGTGGCACGCGGGCTCAGTAGCTGTGGCACGTGAGCTCTACAGCGCAGGCTCAGTAGTTGTGGCGCACCGGCTTAACTGCTCCGCAGCATGTGGGATCTTCCCGGGCCAGGGCTCGAACCCGTGTCCCCTGCATCGGCAGACGGACTCTCAACCACTGCGCCACCAGGGAAGCCCGGCAGGTGTATTCTTAACCACTGCACCACCAGGGAAGCCCTTAATTTTTATTTAAAAAAAAGTTTTATTGGAGTATAGTTGATTTACAATGTTGTGTTAGTTTCAGGTATACAGCAAAGTGAATCAGTTATACATATACCCACTTTTTTAGATTCTTCTCCCATGTAGGTCATTACAGAGCACTGAGTAGAGTTCCCTGTGCTATACAGTAGGTCCTTATTAGTGATCTATTTTATGTATAGTAGTGTGTATCTGTCAATTATTATCATATTGAAAGTTATCATTCAACATTAACATATAAATGCTTAGTGGATGATTTGCTGAGTCACATTTTATGTACCACCGCTCCCCTTCATCCACACAAATGGTTAAGTACGGATACAAAAGAACTGTGTTCGAAGCTGATTTTTCTTTCCAGAAGCTCAAACCCAAGTAGTGTTTTGGTTATATGAACTATAATCCTACTATATCATTAAAAACATAAACCTATTTCCTCAAAACATTTGGGTTAAGCACACAATCATGAGACTGTTATATTTTAAAATTATCTAAAATAACTTAGCTTGTGGGAGAAATAAAAACAAATCTACCTTTGAAAAATATTTATATTATCTTGAAACTTTCAGTTCTTATATATAGGAAAGGCACCCAGGGCTACTGTTTTTCCTGATTCATTTGACGGCTGAGAAGGAAAGGGGTAATAGAGTAAGCCTGAATATTTAACTAAGATATGGAATGCATGAAAGAAGGATAAAGGAAAAGTTGGATTTTATATAATCCTTAAACTAATAATCCACCAACTTTTCTCAAAAATTAGCATGGATTCTGAGAGGGAAGATTTCCAACGTAAAATCACATAGACATATCCTAAGCAAGCAGGATGAAAGACAAGTAAATAGTATGGTACTAAGAAAAGAGCTATTTCCTCAAAGCTCATAGGCAAGAAAGTTCTAAAACGAAGAGTGTTGGCGTAAACTATAGCACAAGTAAGCTTTGTCAGGGACATGTCTCTTCTCCGTTAGAAATGGGCTTTAGGATATCTGCAGAGACACTAGGAATGAAAAACATAACCTTTAAGACAATATTGAGTGTTTATAAAAATGAAGAAATTTTCAAAAGGGCAAAAATATACAGTTATAATAAATGCTTCAAGGAGGTTAAGGAACCAACATTTTAATTACAGGAAATTCGTCAATATTGCAAAATTACTATGATTTCATCTTGAAATAAACTTGCTTTAAATAGAGTTATCTAGAACAAAATTATTTTTTAATACTGCTATTTTGACGTGTATATTTTTATAACTTCACAAATCATGCTTTACCCAGCTTGGTTCTTTTCTTTCAAACTAAGGAACTGATCACAACGAATATCTTAAGTGATAAGTACAATAGGTCGACAGTGTCTATGGTTAGTGATTAGTTCCAAGGAAACTATGGCACTGTACCTAGTTTGGCTCAGGACAACCACGTATTGCTAAGATCAGTGTAAAGCCATGTTAAGAGTTGATAAGTGTAAGCATCGAGTGTTATTAATTTAAGGGTCTCAACAAAATGAGGCACTGTACTCAGGAACCGGGCGACTGTAAGTAGTTCACTGACTGGTGGTTGTATGTGCCCTCTTTTATCTATTAAAAAAGGCTGAAAATGACTCAGTAGGTGATGTGTCTCTATAGAATCAAGACTCATATCCTTACAGATTTATACATCGATGTTAGTTCTTCTCAAGATCCAACTCCCATATTTAAAGGAAGAAAAAATGACTGAGTCTATCTTAAAAGACTTCTAGAACCTCAGATTACTTTCCCACAGAATTCCATTTAAGGAACCTGTTTGTATAAAATCATTAAGGTGAATAAAACCAAATTATCATACGTAACGTTAACAAACAGGTTAAGGAATATATCGTTATCAAACACTATTACTGTCTAATGTCATTTGATTACACAGAAGGCTTTTCTTAAATGATTCTATTTTGTAAAAATGCACCTGTAATATTTTCCCATCGACCTGCTTCTAGACCATATACGACATGACACCTCTCTCTAAGGGCCAGAGTTTCACGTCTATACAACAGATTCATGAGTCTACTCTAAACAGGCTATGACAGAGTCCACCGCAGGAAGAGATTTGATTTGAAAATGTCTTACCCCAGATATGAGAAATACTTTGCAGAAGTCCAAAACCGGCAGAATCTGTAGAAAACTGGCAGCTTCCAGTGTGTCTTGAAGGTTGTCCATATTAAGAGAAAGCTTTGCAGTGTAAATGAAATCAATAATTTTCCTTAAACCGACTTTGCTCACGCCATGAAGCTTAATGCACATTAAATCTTGTTCTTTCATTCCACCTTAAATAAAAAGACACTCCATTAAATGACCGTGGATAATTTAATTAAGGTCAAATTCACTTCTGCTGCTAACTAGATATGATAAAATCAGGGAAATTTTATTCTGTGTAGCATTTGTATCAGAGTCAGGTTTCTGCATATTTTACAGTTAAAAGAGAGTACTTAAAAAGGAAAATCTCTATACTAATGGAGGTGGTATACGATGCAAGTGCTTCCAAAATGTTCTCCTGTCACTTCACATCTTTTGACGGATTAGAGATTGTATTAGTGGGGATTGTATTAGTCTCTGATGGCCCATTCAGATATGTGTCTGGGAAAGCAAAGCTATGAGTTAAAGGTGGACAGAAGAATAAGAAAGGTACGTCCATTTTCCAGGTTAAAAAAGGGCCACCCACAACTGTACATACTGGGTGCCTATTCCTTTTGAAACTCTTTCTTCTTGTAAAGACACTGACCAAAAGAACTGAACCTTCCTTTACCAATACAAGGATTTAAACACATACTTTTCATACTGTTTTAACGTGGAAGCAGAGTTTAGAAAGGAAAGCTACCTGTGAACATAGCCTTGAAGTAATCACTAGCAGAGGCCATCATGACTCTGTGCACAGGGAAGGCGTCATCTGTGTCCCCTGGCATCAGGGTCACGTCACAGAGCAACCCTTCAAGTCGGAGCTGGTCAAACCCCTACAACAAGAACACGAGATGAGCTGCTCGGCAAGGTAGAATGGGAATACAGATCTCTGTGTGCTAGAATTCTCTTGACGTATTAATGTGTGGGGAATATATTTGGAACATAAAGCCAGTAGAATAATGACTCAGAAGAAGAAATAAACTGAACAGCTTACTTGATATGTGGCAATATATATTTAACTCACTGTAGAAAAAAGATAAAATTAAGATTAATTTGGATTAAGAACAAATAAGGAAAGAGCATATACATTCACTTATTTATATAACCATTGGCTTTCACAGTATTTTGAAAAAAAATTACCATGTACACCTTATTTTCCCACGTGCAGAATTAGTTCCGGTTTGTGAAGAAGGAAAGAGTTCTGGAGATGGATGGTGGTGATGGATGCACATTATGAATGTATTTAATACTGCTGAACAGTACACTTAAAAATGGTTAAGATGGGGCTTCCCTGGTGGCGCAGTGGTTGAGAGTCCGCCTGCCGATGCAGGGGACGCGGGTTCGCGCCCCGGTCCGGGAGGATCCCACGTGCCGCGGAGCGGCTGGGCCCGTGAGCCGTAGCCGCTGGGCCCGCGCGTCCGGAGCCTGTGCTCCGCAGCGGGAGAGGCCACAACAGTGAGAGGCCCGCGTACCGCAAAAGAAAAAAAAAAAAAAGGTTGAGATGGTAAATTTTATGATATGCATATTTTATCACAATAAAAAAATGGAGAATAAAAACAAGATTTTTGCAAGATGGAGTCTGTAGTTTCAAAAATGGAAATGTACTGTTATAAAAAATCATGAAGATACTCATACGAATCACTTTTATTTATTTATTTATTTTAATATATACAGCAGGTTCTTATTAGTTAAATTTATTTATTTGTTTGTTTGTTTATTTATTTATGGCTGCATTGGGTCTTCGTTGCTGTGCACGGGCTTTCTCTAGCTGCGGCGAGCGGGGGCTACTCCTCCATGCGGTGCGCGGGCTTCTCATTGCGGTGGCTTCTCTCTGTTGCAGAGCACCGGCTCTAGGTGCACGGCCTTCAGTAGTTGTGGCATGCGGGCTCAGTGGTTGTGGCTCGCGGGCTCAGTCTCAGTAGTTGTGGCACACGCGCTTAGTTGCTCCGCGGCACGTGGGATCTTCCCGGACCAGGGCTCGATCCCATGTTCCCTGCATTAGCAGGAGGATTCTTAACCACTGCACCACCAGGGAAGCCCTACAAATTACTTTCTAATAATATAATGTAATATAATAATGTAATACAACAAGAACTAATAGCAAGGATTATTCTACCCCCTTCTTATTTTAATGACCCCAAATAAAACTTTTATTTAAAGTCGTGTTTCATGGATTTAAGAAGCAAAAGGCACGGCATACTGAAGAATGCAGTTTCAGAAATAGTGATCCTGCACATATGTATAATATAAATCTTAGTCTAAACATCTTCTCGTCATAATTTTTAAATTGCTTTTTAAAGAAAATGCTTGAATCTACAGAACTAGAACTTCAAAGAGATAATGTGATCCAGCCACTTTCTCTCTGGAGAGAGATATAAATATTTTTACTCCAAAAATATTTATACATTATACATATACTTTAGAACAGGATTATGTATCATACTTTCCTCTCTCCAACAGTGATTGACATATGTTTTTGTTCACAAATATCAACTGTTTCACAAATGCCCCTTTTCCTTTGTAAACACAAACACTTCCCCACCCCTGCGCCCCCTCAATATTTTCCTTTCTCCATTGCTAAATCATCTCCTGTTCCTGTTATTTAGAGAAGTAGAGGTAAAAAGAGATGTCCATTTTAGGGAACTATTTTCATGGAGAAGGTAGGAAGTGGCTTTTTGAAAATTCACATATGGAGTCTAAATTGCAGTAAGTTTAAGGGGATTGCCTTTCAAACGTAGGTGAGCATACGAGAATTGGGAAGTCCTGAATGCAACCACTGGGGCTGGGGATGGGATGGCCAAGCCACTGAGGAGGAGGGAACCATCAGGTAGAAGAGCTGAGGGACTAGGATGTTTGAATTCCCCAGTGCACTTAACAAATGTTCAGTTAATGCTTGACCAAACAAACCAGACTTTACCCAGAAGCCACCACTTGGTATTAAAAACAACAACAACGGGCTTCCCTGGTGGTGCAGTGGTTGAGAGTCCGCCTGCCGATGCAGGCGACACGGGTTCGTGCCCCGGTGCGGGAGGATCCCACGTGCCGCGGAGCGGCTGGGCCCGTGAGCCGTGGCCGCTGGGCCTGCGCGTCTGGAGCCTGTGCTCCGCAGCGGGAGAGGCCCCAGCAGTGAGAGGCCCGCGTACCGAAAAAAAAAAACAAGAACAAAAACAACAACAACATGTAGAACTTGAATTTTGTAACAAGCTAACTAGAAACCAGGAACTTTATTTGTGAACCTACTCTCAATAATAAAATAAATTGTGCCTATAATGCTTATTTGTGGTAAACTGTACAGGCTGAGAGAAGAGGAATTGAACCAGGGTTTGGGGGGAAAAGGTTGGCTCCCAAAGGCTTGGCTTTTTTCTCCTTCAGATAAATTTCAGGTTTAAAAAATTTAGATATATGTTTGTTGTAAAAATACAGAAGGATAAAAACAGAAAAGTAAAGTCCACCTCTTCTACTTACTAAGAGTAAATACTGTTAGCAGTTTAGTATATATACTTCCAGGCCACTTTCTACACATATGCATATAGGAGTTTTAAAAGTAGGATACTACACTTACTGTTATGCATCATTTTTTTTTGGGGGGGGGGGCCCTCCGGGCCGCACAGCATGCGGGATCCTAGTTCCCCAACCAGGAATAGAACCTGCGCCCATGCAGTGGAAGGGCAGAGTCTCAACCACTGGACCGCAAGGGAAGTCCCCTGTTACGCATTTTTTAAATTCACCTGGGCTTCCCTGGTGGCGCAGTGGTTGAGGGTCCACCTGCCGATGCAGGGGACGTGGGTTCGCGCCCCGGTCGGGGAAGATCCCACATGCCGCGGAGCGGCTGGGCCCGTGAGCCATGGCCGCTGAGCCTGCGCGTCCGGAGCCTGTGCTCCGCAACGGGAGAGGCCCCAGCAGTGAGAGGCCCGCGTACCGCAAACACACACACACACACACACACACACACACACACACACACACACAAATTCACCTGAGCGCATAACACGGACAGCCCTCTGTCTCAGTATACACAAATCTACTTCATTCTTTTTAGTGGATGCACAGAATTTCATGGGGTATGGGGCCTAGCGTAATTATTCATCCATTCCTCACTCTTGGCCTCTCAACTTTTGCTATTACAAGCAATGCTGCAATGATCTTCCTTGTACATATACTTACTTGTGTGAGTAGATCTGTGGGAGATAGTCCTAGAAGTGGAATTGTTGGTTTAAACAATATATACTTTTAAAGTTTTAATAGCTACTGGCAAGTTAAAGCATATAGTTTATCTTGGGAAATTTATCAAAATTGGCAAAAAAGCGAGATGTCAAGATACCCATCAGATGAAACTAGGTACAGTATGCCATCTTACTTTATTTTTATTCAGCAAATAACTTTTGAATCTTCCTTTCTAAGGTATATATAGATAATATCTTTGAAAGGCAATCATGGCTTCTTCAGTCAAAAGCAATGATTGTATCTAATCAGTTATTTTCTTCCACTAAAAAAAAAAAAAAACAAACCCCAAAACCTTCTCGGCTCATTTGCTGGCCCTCCTGCCTTTAAAATATTCCTACAAATATTTTATACTGAGAATTGAGTAATGTCAGTAGGCTTCTTTCCTACTATTTATTATTCCTTCTTTTCCCCTTTGAAAAAAGACATGGCTAATGTTTCCTGTATCATTACCTGTGTCATTTCTCATTTGGTCCATATTCCATTAAAACTGCTTGTTGAGGTTTGTACTCAATCTTTAAAATCTCGACAGTTCAGCTAAGACACCAGGAGCTGTTGCCCTCTTCACAGATTTGACCATTTTGCTTCCATTTGCAATATTAAAAAAAAAAAAAACCCTCTAACCATTCTCAGTATAATCTGGCATCCCCACAGAAAGGAAGATGAGGCTCCTAGACCACTTTTATCACATTCTGAGTATTTTCTTTCTATCCTAAGCTTAATTTATCTACCTTTGGCAAACTGTCCGCTTTTGAGAGGTTTTGCATTTGTTTTCACTGCATGTAAAGTAGTTTCCCTTTCTATACATTTCATAACCTTCATTTTCAAATGCACAAATAATCCCACTATCCAATTCCATATTTGCTAATTTTATTCCTAATTATTGCTGTCCTTATCCAAATAAGATCTGTCAATTCAGACTGTTTTCACACAGACCTAAATATCTCGTCTGCATGCTGTTATCTGTGCTATCCCAGCTGTGTCTAAAGAGAAAAAAAACTGAAGTTCCTCTACAACACACTTTGTCGTACAGAAGTACACAGTCATTTTTCTAAACAACTTTTATACTCTAATCTTGTGAAGAATGTACACATGAAAAGAAGTGGGGCAGGGGGGACTTCCCTGGTGGTTAAGACTCTGCACCTCCAAGGCAAGGGGCGCGGGTTTGATTCCTAGTCAGGGAACTAAGATCCCACATGCTGCGCAGCACGTCCGAGAAAACATAAAAATAATAAAAAATTAAAAAATAAAAATAAGAAAAGGGGGGGGGTCATTCTCTTCCACAATTCTCATCTGCCCTCTGTACGTCTACCTTTTGCTTTCACTGTTACAATCTTTCCCCCTATTTAACTCTAGGAAGATTCTTGAAGATACCTTGCACACTTAAAATGTGTCCTTTTATTGTAAAATCATTTTCTTCCACCAAATTTGTACTGATTCCTCTTGCCAGAATTCTATAAACATTTTTGTCTATTTCTGCATGCTAATCCACGATATACAGATACAGCTGTGTTTTACGCAAAATTGCTCAAAGTTTCCCATTAGTCTTTTTGGAGTGTCTTTAAACTGTTTTTACTGCTTTAAACTCAACTTCTTTCTAAATCAATCCTTA